TTTGCTGCTCTTAATTTTTTAGTTAACCAGTAAGTGTACATTTTTGTATTTTTGGTAGTTAATAAAGATGCACTATAATAAGAATATACTTATTCTAATTTGGTATACATTTCACTCCTGGGCTTTGAAAACATGAATTTCTATATTTCAGATTCACAATCGAATAAAGAATGTTCACTTATAAAAATGTATATGAATACATGAAGAAACGTCTCCCCACACATCTCCCCCACACCTTTTTTTCTCTCCCTCCTGTGTTTTCCTTTCAGCCTACAGTCATGGTTAGGTGTCTTCCATCCTTTAAAAACGAAAGCACGCAAACACGTTTTCCCCAGACCCGGGCATCTTATCTTTTTAAGCTCCTTCACCCCCATCTCTTTTCTTCCTCTCTAACGAACTATTAACCAAGAAGCCACACTTGCTTTGTCCACGTTCTCTTTCCAATCACTTATTAACCCTCTGTGTTCTGACTTCTCCACCTAGCACTGATCTGGAATTGCTTAGTCGTGATTTAGTACTTAGCAGACCCCATCCATCTCACTTCTGATGTTTGACCTTGTTTCTCTTCCTGAAATCTTTTGTCCCTTTGCTTCTTGAATTGAGTCCTCTTTCCACTTCCCCTTCATCTTTCTAGTCCCATTTTTCCTAGTTTATTTTACTAGCTCATTGTTTTTTCTCCCCTTCTATTTTGATAACCCCAGGATTTTCCTTTCATTTTCTTCTCATTCTGTATTGTCTTCCTGAAGAAATTCATCTCTGGGTGAATAACTTCAGAGTTCATATGTTCAGAACATGTGTCTTTGCCCAGAACCCCAGTCATATATTTTCACTCTCTGTTTGACATATATAGTGTATGTACTTCAGACACCTCACACCTCACCCTTGAAATATGCATAGAAATACATAGACACACATTTCCATTACAATGACCTATTTCTTTTTCTCTATTTTCTTTCTCCCCATTTGGTAACCTTATCAGTCTCCACTTACTTTTTCCCTCACCACCTTCTTGTAGTCATCCATCAACTTCTAAATTTCAATTTCTAAGCATCAGTTCAGTCTGTCTGCTCTTGCTGGCTCATTGTGATCACCTTAGGTCGGGTCGTGTCCTCATGTTCTCAGTCCAGGACTGTTCTCCCATCTTCTTAACATGCCCAGAGTCCTGTAATGGATGGAGCCAAGACTGAACCCAGTTCTACCTAGTTCTGTTTTTACCACACTCGTGACACTGGTTTTCAAATGAACAATTTGACTATGAAACCCTAGATGTACAAAATCATTTCAGTACTAATTTTCTAATTTTAAATATTTCTTTATAAATTATTTTAAAAGTATGAATTAATAGCCCTAATTGATACAGAATGCATATATGTAAGATTCGCATTCATTAATCATTCATGTATTCAACATACATTTACTAACCACCTGGTCCGTAAGGTGCACGCAGAAAATAGGCCTAAGATACCAGCATGACTTAAATAACTACCCCCGAGCGACTCACAGTCTCATGAAACAGATAAACATGTAGACAAATAGTAACACTGCCGTGTAATAGCTGTTAAGCAAAGGAGTATAACACAGCTTTAGAAGCCCCAAGGAGGAAGGAGAGAATTGAAAGGTGTCAAGACTGTATTATATAAAGCTGGATTGTGAGTAAAGAGTAAGGGTCTGTCTGACAAATAATTGGGAGAAGGCTGTTTTAGGCAGAGGAAGCAATACCAGCGAGAGCAAGGAATAGCAAGTTTTATGACAGGGAACAGTGGGACCAAAGACCTCGGACTTCATGTATACGGGGATTTGCAGGATATGTTTAGACATAGGGATCACGTAAGTGTATTTGTGCTCAGTTAGGTAATTCTAACCATGTGTAGGGCAGAGCAGAAGGATGAAAAATAAAGTAAGGAGACTAGTTAGGCTAGGGCAAAAATGTAGGTGAGAACCCAGACTAAAATATTGACGAGTAAGTAAGAAGGAAGAAAACGTTAACAACTGAACATGATTATATTCTGAAGAATATCCAAACTGTGCATATACATTGAATGTTTGCATCTCTATTTTGTTTTTGTTCTAAACTATAGACGTGGGACGTAGAGTTGGAAAGATCTGCGGAGTCCTGGGCCGAAACTTGCTTGTGGGAACACGGACCTGGGAGCTTGCTTCCATCGATCGGACAGAATTTGGGAGCGCATTGGGGAAGGTAGCTGAAAATGTAACATTGTTTCTGAAAACGGGTGTTTGACATGAGCCGCACATTAACTCATGGTGCCCATTCTCAAAGGCTTAGGGCCTGAAAGGAAAACAAGTAATCACACCAACACGGATACTAAAAAAATTAAAAAATATCGTACGAGAATGATCAGCAGTGTTTGAGACTTACTTTTGCTTTACACCACTGATATAATTTTAATGTCATGGGCACAAATATTTATGATGAATAACTTACACAAACTATACCTCTTTAGCAAACTTGATCAGTCTGTTTGCAATATTTGGTTTTACGTTTTCTCCAACTTTACTTGCTGTTTGTGGTTATTTCATTTCAAATAGATATAGGCCCCCAACATTTCACGTACAGGCATGGTATGATGAAGTGAGAGACTTTAGCTTCCCATATGAGCATGAGTGCAACCCATATTGTCCCTTCAGATGTTCTGGTCCTGTCTGCACTCATTACACACAGGTATGTTTGCGGGATTTTACACTGTATTGCTCTAAGTTGAGTTCGTGTAACTATGAGAGAACTTAGGCTACTGAACTTGTTGTGTCTTTTTTTATGTTTTTTGGTACGGTTATTTAAAAAATTATGTAGTTACTGATGTATGTAGAATATGCTTAGAAATTTCTATAAACAATAAAAGTAGTAATCAGGAAAAAAAAGTCCAAGCACCTACTTAAAAAGACATTATTGCAATGATTTTACATATGGGACATTTTTAATATGGCCCCAATAAATGCCAATGGGGAGACTGTTACCGTCTTCAAATCAGGTGTCATTAGTTTTTATTTTCCAAAGATTAAAAATATAGTTTTATTTACCAGTGACATTTGGTATTTACATGCATACAGCATTTATCTTTTTTTTTTTTTTGTATTCAGTGTTCACATTTGGTATTGGATACGCTCTAAACACTAAAATCACACAACTAAAGCAGATTTGATTAGTGAGCTCAGCATAGATCTGAGTTCCTAGAAGTTCTATGGCTGGTTATTAGTGAATATAAAATGGACCAACTGGTATGCCTTGGCCTGTGATGAGATTAAGATCAGTATTGAACTCCTTAATAACCACTTGTACAATGAAAATATCATGTTGTGTCACAATACACTTGAACACCTAAGTTTTTTCTCCAGGACTCTTTGTTTAAGAGGAGAAATTCTGTCCCTTTGTTAGCTAAGTTTCTGTACAGAAATATTAACACAGAATTCAGGTTTGTGAGGATGTAACTTTTGAATTACTTAGTAAATTTGTATTTTGAAGATGCTTACATTTTGTAGCCTGATAGAGTTACTGAGCTGTAGATCACTTCTTTAAATTGAAATAAGCACTTCCCAACATCTCAGGAAAAATATCCTTGGTGACAGTGCCTCATTTCATTTTGAATGATAAATGTTTGTTTCTCAAATTCAGTTTTGTACATTTTCACTCAGATATGTTGTGTCTGATTTCATCTGAACTTGCTGTTTTTTGAGCCTTTCTTTCCTCTAATGTAGGTTGTGTGGGCAACAAGTAGCAGAATAGGCTGTGCCATTAATTTGTGTCATAACATGAACATCTGGGGGCAGATATGGCCCAAAGCTGTCTACTTGGTGTGCAATTATTCCCCAAAGTAAGTAGACAAAACAATACTTTCATACGTAAATTTTCCTTAACAACAGGAAAATAACTTTATATTCTTGAATTTATTTTTACTTTTCAGTGTGTATTCTTGAGTATATTGTTTGAACTCAGTTTACTTAATATGGCAATAATTTTGGTTGCCTGACGCATAAAATCAGTGCTTAAAAGGAATACAAAGTTGAAAATATGATCTTTGTGAAGATAGGAATTATATTTTTATGCCTTGAGTTTTACTCACTGCACTATTATATTGCATAAATATTTAATAAACTTGGTCTATTAGAGATGAACAGCTATGGATTAACTGAGAAATGCATTTTCACCTGTGTACAGACCATTCAAATGATTACATTGAAAATATTACTTAACCATACTTAGGGTCAAATCTAAGTCTAAAATCTATTTTTATTAAAACAAATGGAATATAGATGAATATCCCATAGCAGAGTTTGGTGTTCTGCAAAAGTTTGATTTTGTAATTTTTAACATTACGCTTAGCAAATTATTTAGTATATCTTCAAAAGAATGAGGCAGCAGTTTATATTTAAATCTAGTAATCCAAAGGACTCTGTGATAAAAGATATCAACATCTTAAATCTACACCTCAAAATCATTACTTTGAAGATTCTTATATAATATTTTGCAATGTATTATAAATTATGCTATTACACTACCTCTTAAAAGAGTGCTTATCATCTCTTTAAGGGGAAACTGGTGGGGACACGCCCCCTACAAACATGGAAGACCCTGTTCGGCTTGTCCTCCTAGTTTTGGAGGAGGCTGTAGAGAAAATCTATGCTATAAAGGTATGTGCTATTATGTTATTCAGTATGGTTAATATTTTAATCCAGCTTATGCATTCACTTATGTTTTCAAAGAGCAGAGTGTTAATTTATTACCCAAACCATTTCCAGAACTCGATTTCAAATATTTTAAAGCCATTTAGAATATTTAAAAAATACTTATAATATTAATGCCCTTTATACCAATATACTATCTTTAAAGGAAAGTTTCATGATTATTCCAGATAGCTTCTAATTCTATTTGGGATTTATCCCAGAGCGACAAGTATATTTACATTCTTGAAAGCCATCTTGATATATTGTTGACTGAGTTGTTTCTATAACTCATCATTTTTAAAGGATTTGGCAGTTTAAAACAATTTATTTTTAGAATTTTAAACGTTTTTGCCAAAATACCTATCTAGGATTCTTGGTTGAACCGTGCTCCATGAATTGTACTGATTCTCTGCTTCTCACTGTAGACTGTCCAATTTCTCATGCCAAAGTAACCAAAAATGTATAATAGTATTATAGAACTATTATGAAAGTAATGCTCTCAAATGCATTTGATAGCCTAAAAAGTGAATATAAATATGGTGTCCTATTTGTAGCACATAAAGAGAAAAAATGTATGACAAAGCTTTGTGAAAGTTGTCATGCTTTCGTTGGGCATCCAGGTAACCTTTTTTACTCCCTTGTACTTTTTCTGAATGATGACTAAATGAAGATTAATGTAGACTGAGTGTATTATAAGATATATGAATAAATACAGCCGTTGTCAGTACTCATAAGGAGGTGTCTCTTTTTTTTTCTTTAATGACTCAATGCTCATTAGCTATAATGAGCAGACATGAAGTGACCATATATTTCACTCTGTTACATGTGCCATTTTTAATTCCTGGAAGCATTTTTTCATTGTGTGAGTCTGTTTTCAATTCTCTTTACCCCCAAACCTCCTACCGACTTGCCCCTTCACCAGTGGCCACTATATTTTACTAAAATTGACTTTCCTCTGACTTCATACTTCTCTTTCTAGGCTCTAAGTTCTTAGACACAATAAAAATAACACAACTCTCCAAAATGTGCCAGGATCAAGCCTTTGATGTAACCCAACCTGGAAAAATTTTAAATTCAAAGTTTGAAATTATTCTCCATTGTCAAGGTTAAATTTCTGCACATTGAATTACCTTCTGAAAGAGAAAAACCTTTCCAGGGAAACTGATATTGTAATAAATAACAAGGGCATAGCAATCTTTCTTTAGGGTACATTTTTCTTTTTATGGGAGAATTTTAAATGTGATCCTTCCAAAAATATTACAAATATGATTTCATTTGGGAAAACAAATTCAAATTCACTAAGCCCCCCGTCTTTACTGGATGACTGTGTAGACTGTATAGTGTCAGTATGAAAATCATTGATATAAACAAAGTTTAGAAATGACTCCATTTAATATTAATCAAACGGTAGCATCAATTAAATCAAGGCCTCAAAGGCTTATGGGTATGTTTCATTTACTCCAATGCAGTAGATAAGATCACCACCTTAAGTCAAAACCTGTGCCAAAAAACAATACTGATTTTTCTAATTTAAATGATAGACCTTCACTTGCCTGTTGTCTATCACTTGCCTGTGAAGGTCTATCATTTCTGATAATTCGTGCACATTTAGAAGGGGATTCATATTTCTTAACTCTGTCCTAACAGAAGGATCAGACAGGTACTACACTCCTCGAGAAGAAGAAACCAATGAAATCGAACGGCAGCAGTCACAAGCACACGATGCCCACGTTCGGACGAGAGCTGATGATAGTGACACAAACGAAGTCGTCAGCACGCAGCAAATGTGTAAGGCTTCTTCTGCATTATTTACAAAAATGTTAAAGTTCCCATAGGTGACATATCCATCTATAGTTTATTAGCTTTAATATTTTTAGAATGGTGAAAGCTTGGCATTAGGCTAAATGTGAAGAATTACAGCAGCTTTTACATTCTCTAATTTATTTTGGTACTTTTTTTTTCCTTTTAGCTCAAATTGTTTCCTGTGACATAAGATTAAGAGATCAGTGCAAAGGAACAACCTGCAATCGGTAATGTTTATTATTGTTCTTAAAATTAACTTGCAAACTATAAGAAAAATTGTCAGTTTATACTGACATGCAGAGAAACTAAATTTTGTTTCCAATTGCTTTCATTTAGATATGAATGCCCTGCTGGCTGTTTGGATAGTAAAGCTAAAGTTATTGGCAGTGTACATTACGAAATGGTAAGGATTATAAATATAATTGTTCGGGGTAGAGTTCTTTCATATAATATTTGATTTTTTTAATGTGAAAAATAATTTATGTATCGATACTTCATTTGTTTAAAGTCATATAAATAGCATCTAGTTGTGTTTGATGCAGAGCTCTAATATTTTAACATATTTTTCTCCCCTTTTCACCAAGCAATCCAGTATCTGTAGAGCTGCAATTCATTATGGTATAATAGACAATGATGGTGGTTGGGTAGACATCACTAGACAAGGAAGAAAACATTATTTCATCAAATCCAGTAGAAATGGCGTTCAAACAATTGGGTAAGTACCCGAATGATCTTTTGGACCAGATGATTTTAAATTGTAACAATGAAGTAATAGATTATTTTAGAGCAAAGCATAGAAGACGCTGATTTATCACAAGAGAACCTGGTAATTTTCAGTTCATTTCAGCTAGAACATTTCCAGAGACAAAAAGAAGAAAAAGTATCTACATTAAAGTTGAACCCTTTTACTTACAAAGAGCATGCTGAAATTCCAAATGTTCTAGAGTTTCATCAAGAATGTACAGATTTACAGTTATTTCCAGTGTGAAGCAATACACTTTTCAGGTATATCAGAAAATACTGCAGAGAAGGCTAACTGCTCTGTTTAGTTTATTTCCTGCAATAGTAACTTTGTTAATAAGATTAATAGATAAAAGAACATTTTGAAAAGTCTCTAAATATGTAATATACTATGTCACCTTTCTTTTGCCTATTTAAATGTAATTTAACCCAACATAAAAGAATTGGTTACCTTTTAAAATGTTTCTCATGTTAAAAACAATAAATATGTTATTCTAAAACACTGTGTATTTTCATATATATTCTACAAAAAGTAGAAAAATGTGGGTTTTGGAAATATCTTTGTAGTGTCTCTTGCTTCTATGTAAAAAACAAAACACAAAAAAACATTATTTAACCTCATATGGAATGCCTTTTCTTAGGAAATGTGACATAATTTCTTTCTTTTGTAAATACACAATTGCATGAAATTCCACAGTAAAGTTGGAATTCATAATAAGAATTTATTATCTCTTGCAAACTGGTAGAATAATCTATAGACACAGTTTTGTTAGAAGACTTGAGATATATTCAGCCACTAGCCATTACTCTCAAGTGAAAGTTTTACAGAAATATTTATTGACTGGTTCATTCAGCAAATATTTATTAACTACCTTGAGTAAATAATAAATATTAGTTATTAGTTTTAGAAAGCCAAACACTGGGTGCTCGATTAAAAAAACATTTATCCTATTATTTACTTTCTTCTCTTAACCTGGTTTCTGACTATGTTTATTATGGAAACTCGCTTGAAATTTGCAGGAAGCATTATACTAAAAGTACCATCACAAATAAGCTTTACCTTTTGCAATAGATGTTTTTCAGAAAATCTGGATGTAGATAAGCCAATCAAAAATTTGATATATAATGGTATACCTATTCTTATATTCATGTTTTTTTTTATTAGTGAGGAGCAATAATTCATTTATTGTAGAGATTTTACTAAATACTAGGTGGAATGAATAATGCACACAATCTTTTGAGGTACTTATTATTTAGTAGTCTTGTTACAACACTATCTTGTATTTATTGTTGTAAAAGGTTAAATAATTTGTTTCCATGGTGATAAGGAATTGATATACTGATAGTTTTAATTTTAATAGGAAACAAAGATACAGATATAAATGTATATTATTTTGTATTATCTATAAGTTTTTGAGATTGATAATGAAAAAAGATCATTTTCTAGTAGTAAGAATGGTATTGATTTAATACAGACTTAAAGGTAACAGGCATTCAGCATAAATAGGTGATGTATTCTTCTATTACTCCTTATTTAGGTATTTAAATAAAAATAATGTTTAAGACAAAAAATATTCATAGACCTAAAAAAATGCCATTAGCTATGTTGATAATCATGCATATAAGAAAATGATTGACATTTGTTTGTTTTCATTTTCAGCAAATATCAGTCGGCTAATTCCTTCACAGTCTCTAAAGTAACAGGTTAGCACTTTCTTTTATCTTATTTTTTTGCTACTATGTTGTATGTTACTGTTTGCAAAGAATTTGCTTATTGTCATGTGCTTTAACTCCTCAGTTCAGGCTGTCACTTGTGAAACGACTGTGGAACAGCTCTGTCCATTTCATAAGCCTGCGTCCCATTGCCCAAGGTAACACTTCCTAAAGTTTCTTTCTTTTTTCACCAGTGAACTCAGAAGGTGCTCTTATCCTGTGATAAATGTTTTTTGCCTGAGCTTGTGGTGTCTCTAGGACTCAAAGGGTGTGTGGTCTTGAGCTGCCAAGCAGCGGGAAGCAGTGGGACATCAGAAATGACACGCACCCCAGGCTCGCTTAGTGCTTTCTCCAAATGCCAGAGTGCCTTCTGCTTTCCTTAATAGCTGGCTTGTGCACATACCCTGTATGTTCACATGTGCCACGAAGAGTTCTGCCCTAGCCTGCTCGGGCTGCTACAAACACAGATGAATGATATGCCAAATATTTTTGTCCCCTTCCTGGAGCTTTGCTAATTGTGCTCTTATAAGGCTCACAGATTTAATTAAAGTCATGGTGTGTTTTATAATCTTAGATATATTTGTAGACTTTTTTCAGATATCTCAAACCCCTGTACTTACAGACTGTATTTTTCTAGAGAGAAGGGACATATTGCTAGGGGAAGCTGCTAAATTTTAGCATTCTGATATGGTGAGAAAAAGCAAAGATTTTAGAAATTTTCATTTATACGTATTTATTAAATACCAACTATAGACCATTACAATGCAAGGCCCTATCTCAGCCATGTGGCTGGGTTTCTGAGGACTAACTGTAACTAATAAGGATCATTGGGGAGCATTTCAGCCTCCCTCTAGGAGATGCTCAATAAACGGTAATTTTATATTTGTGGAAAAATTTTTAGCAATATTGTTCCAAAAGGAAAAGATCATGCAAGTAAAATGTTAGTGAATAAGTTTTCTATTTCTTGGCTTGTTACATAAAGGGAAATACCTCCCCACTAAATGAAATGATATGCATTTTAAAAATTTAATTGTTGCTGTCACCAATATAACAAATTAGTGGAAGTAATGATTTATGGATAATTTTCACCTTATTTACTCTGGAAGTCTCTCCCTTCCCATTTTCTTTGTTAGACTAGTGAAACAAAGGTTTTGTTCTTTTTTTCCTCATAAGATTTTAAATTGTTTCATAAATTAAGCCATAATGGTATTATTTCTATGGTATTTTATAACTTTTAGGGAACCGTATGATTGGTACATTCATTTTAGCATTTTACATCACTTAAATAAGTTGAGACATAGATATATTCTAGGGAAAAATGCCAAGAGCAGGTAAATTAAAGGAAATTAGCCCAAAACGAGCATGAAGAAACAAGGTTTACCTGGATGCTGTGTTCTTGAGAGGTTCTATAGCTGGTAGAACAGCCCAAAATAAACTATCTCTAATATTTAGTACCATAGCCTTGTAGAAAGAGTGTGTGTGTGTGTGTGTGTGTGTGTGTGTGTGTGTGTGTGTCTGTGTTATTGGAAATCTTACCCCATTTTACATATATCTAGAAACACGTATTTAAAATCTGTTGCACGCTCACATTGTAAAATCAGGTGTCATTAAAATGTGTCAGCATTTGTATTCAAAGCTTACAAGCAAATTGTAGATAAGGGACTTTTACTAGATCACTATTATATATTCTCAGTAGTGTGTAACAAGGTATTAAAACCAGAGATTGGAATGCAAACAAGCAAAAACGTCCCCCAGTCTTTCTCTGACCTGAAATTACCTGAGGAGAAACTAACTCAATTTCGAGCTACTGACCTTGGCCTTCTACAAACCAAGTGCTGAAAATAAGGTGAAGTTCAAGCCTGCACAGCATGGTGCTAAAGGCAGAGTAGGTGGCTTTACCACCACAGGGTGGGCGCTGAAGGCCCAATTGCTCCCTAGTACAAGGATCAAATTTCACAGTCAGTGGGGACACCCTTCCTCCTAAACCCCCAACAGTGTCTTTTACAAAAATCACCTTCAAATCAAAGTTATAAAAACTCAGATTCATTTATTACTGCTATGTAAATGGTTCTGGTTTACATGTTATAGAAAGTATAAATACTCTAGAGTGCACAGTGTTATGCAAATTTTAGAAATAAGAAACTGAAATAAGAAATGTAGCAATTTCTTAAAAGCTATCTGAAGGAAGATCTGCTTTCATTGGGAAAGGTAGTTGCCAATGAAGTTTTTCAGAATTTTTAGGAAAATCATCAGTGCTTTCATCAGACAATGGTTTTTCTGTAGTGGTTTTCGTTGAGACCGATTTACTATGTAAAGCAAATTATGTTTTTTTTTTCCAGTTTTATGCATGAGAAAGAGAGAGAGAGAGAGAGAGAGAGAGAGAGAGAATGAATGAGCACAGAACAGCCAATCGATTTAAAAAAAAAAGTGCCACTTGACAGTTTCTTTAATTCTGGGAGTGGATTTTTTTTTAATATCATGTGATTGGTTGAACACTGATAATTGGACCCTATGTTTAAATAAAAAGTGTCAAAATGTTTTTTTAACATTAGCTAAGCCAGTCAGATGTCAGTGAGGCAGGCTGTAGGGTATCTGGAGAAACAACATTCCACGCAGAGAGCAAATAAGTGCAAAGGCCCCAAGGAGTAACCCTGAGACCACTGTGAATTGCATCTCGATGAAAGCGGACGAGTGGGAGATAAGATCAGAGAGGAAACGCAGGACAGATGGTGCATGGCTTACTGACCACTGCAGGGGTCTTGATCATTTGTGCTGAATGAGATGGAAGGCCACTGGAGTACTTGGAGCAGAGGGATGCTATAACTGGACTTGCGTGCTTCAGTATAAGTGTGTGGGAGAACGTAGATTGGAGGGGGCAGAGTGGGAAACAGGAATCCAGGGTTACAGTGATGAGGTGCTTAGGAGAGCTCTGCTTTGGGACATATTTTAATTTATAGTCAGTAGAAATTGCTGGTAGGTTGAAAGTAAGGTGTGAGAGAAGGAGAGGGATTGAGGATAGAATAAAGGTTTTTGGCCTGAGCACCTGGAATAATGGAGTTGCCATGTATTGTAGGAAGCCTACAGAAAGAACATATTTGGGGGCTGGGGGTGGAGATTAGGAATTTGGGTTCAAACATGCGAAGTTTGAGATGTTTCTTAGATCTAAGTGGAGATACGAAATAAGCAGGAGGACGTAGAAATTTATTACTGAGACATGTCAACTATTGATGTAAATTTGGAAATCAACAGTTTATAGTTGATAAAGTAAAACCGTGAAACTGGATGAGATACCGAAGATGTGAACATACAGCAAAGAAATTATGAGATGTATGAGTCGAGCAATGATTCAAACTTTCAAAGTTGCCCGTTTCCAAAATTCTGCTGACACAGTGGGTCCAAAGTTCCCAGATACTTCAAGATGCTTCCTGATTCTTCTTTCTGCTTTGAATCCCTACGTTAGAAAGCTTCCTGGTTAATTTTTTTGAAAAAGAAAAACACATTTGTGCCCAAAGCTCGAAGTGGATAGCAAAGCACAAGCAATTGTGTCTAATGCCTGGCTTTTACAACTGACCTACTTCAGAAGAAAAAAAAAAAATGAACAGGGCTCAGAATGCTGAGTTTGCTATTGTGTGTGCATGTCTGTAGTCTTACTAATAAGAAAAACTGAAGTAACCAGCTACTTAATATTTGTAAATATTTATTTTTTCAGAGTATACTGCCCTCGGAACTGTAGGCAGGCAAATCCACATTATGCTCGAGTAATTGGAACTCGAGTTTATTCTGATGTAAGTATCCTAATTTATGCAGCTCTCAGCATTTGTGTGTGTATGCATAGGTTCCATGCATATATATGCAGACACACATTTAAATGTGTATGTGTACATTTATATACCATATTCCCTTTTATCCCACTTTCCACATTTTTTACTTTCTGTTACTAGCGGCCAGCTATGGTTCAAAAACCTTAAATGGAAAATTTCAGAAATACACAATTCATAAATTTTAAATTGCATGTTGAGTAGCGTGATGAAATCTCCCGCCACCCTGCTCTGTCCCACCTGGGAAGTGAATCGTCCCTTTGTCCGGCATCTCCACGCTAAAGACACCCCATTGGTCACTTAGTAGCCGTCTGGGTTGTCACATCAACTGTCACAGTATCACAGTGCTTACGTTCAAGTCACCCTTGTTTTACTTCATAAGGGCCACAAAACACAAGATTGGTGATGCTGGCAATTTGCATATATCAAAAAGAAGCTGTGATGTGCTTCCTTAAGTGAAAAGTACATACAATGAGATATTCTGAGGACAGGGACAGAGAGACAAAGAGAGAGAGACGGATCACATTCACATAACTTTTATGACAGTATATTGTTATAATTGTTTTATTATTGTTAATCTCTTACTGTGCCTAATTCATAAATTAAATTTTATCATAGCATGTATGTGTAGGAAAATACATACCGTATTTGCCGGCGTATAAGACGACTGGGCGTATAAGACGACCCCCTAACATTTCCACTCAAAATACAGAGTTTGTTATATACTCACCGTATAAGACTAGCCCCTCTTCCGCACACCTTCCACACACCAAATAAAAGGTAAAACAATATCAGATTTGATTTCAACATTTATATTTATATTCAAATGCTTATGACATGCAGGAAAACTGTCACAAGGCTGTATGTAATCAAACATATACATAAATCGCGATTCGCGATTTTGCACTATCATACTGGGTGTATGGTCGGCTGTGTGCGATTTTGCGAGTGTGGTAAAATCGCATAACAGCAAAATCGCACACAGCCGAGCATACACCCAGCAGCACTGCTGATGCCTGAACGGTATGTGGAATGAAGTGGGCGGGCATCGGGAGGCCACTATGGCACGGGGCAAGCACTATGGGCAGTCTATCTGAAGTGTACCTGGCGTATAAGATGACCCCCCACTTGGAGGCATATTTTTCAGGGCCAAAAAATCGTCTTATACGCCGGCAAATACGGTAGGTTATAGAGGGTTTGGTACTATCTGTAGTTTCAGGCTTCACTGGGGGTCTTGGGATGTATCCTCCACGGATAAGTGAGGATGACTGTACAGAATAAGGAAACCGATTCTGTGCTGACATACATATTCTCAGAATAACCATCAGTCACAATGAAACATTGAATATCCACATGTAAACATGAGTGCATAACAGTTTAAGTTGACTAAAATTGTCTTTATATCCTACCATATGTCTTACATCAGACACTTAATGAAATAGTCTGGAGGCACTCTAGGAAGGAAAATGCATTTTGCTTCTCTTCAGTTTTCCTTTTGCTTCTTCAGTATTTGAAGTATAAACTGGATAATTAAGAATTTGCTGAATGTATGAACAGCATCTTCACTGCCAAAGAGGCATTTAAAAAGTCGCATAGAATCAAAAACAGATAACATACAAAAGGAAGCCAGTTGAGGGGATGTTAATGGACGACATTCCTGGGACTGGACGACATTCCTGGGACTGGACGAGGGATATTAGCTGTGATGGCTTCAGAATGGACAAGTGCTTTGGAGCCAGGTTGGACGTGTGAGTTGGTAAAAAGGATGAAGGGACATACTCTAGGTGGATGAATGGCATCTACAAACACATGGAGCTGAGAGCACGTGAGCTGCAATCAAGCCCAGCACAGCGGTTTGCTTGTCTGAGCTGGTGAGAACCGCAGCTAAAAGAGGCTGCAGCCAATTTACTGTGAGGGGTAGAGACACCCAGCCCTTGAAATGTGTAAGTGGAGAGTCTGATGCACGTTGATGAATTTAGATTGTACGTGGCAGACATTTAGAAGCCATCACGATTTCTAAACCAGAGTTTAAAAAACCAACAGGAAATATACTCTGATCCACGCAGGCAGTAGATTACTATGGAAATATAGTTATGAAAAGAAGCCTGAAATATGTATATCACCACCTTATTTCTCTTGGTGAGTTCATTTGGGTCCAGGTTTCTTTCGATTCAGCTTTACCTTTGAAATGATTCTCTAAATCTAATTTCTCTCCCAAGTTCCAGCTTTGCAGTATTCCTATCTGCAGCTTAAATACCCTGCTGCTATCTTAATTTGCTAGTCCTCACGTTTGTTCCTATCTTCTTTTTTTGTTTGTTTAAAAACATCCTTTTTCTCATTTTCTGTCTGTCAAAGTCACAGTCATTCTTCACATCCTAAATCATTGCCACTTTCATGTGAAGTGTGTATCGCTAGGTCTCCTAATTCAAGGATAATGTCGCCCTTCTTTTAACCCTATTACTTTGGTTTTTGCCTTTAGCACTTAGCCGGTTCTGTTAAGTATTATGATTGTTTCCCCACCTTTTTTATTAACTTTGAAGTCCCTTGAAGAAAGCACCTGGGCAATTCATGCATCATTTTTTTCATCAACAATTTGATGTGTGCCAAGCTATGAACAGGACAGTCTTCCTGACTTAACAGAACTTCGAGCACAGTAACATCAGAAACTAAGCAAACACCTTGCACATAAATATTTATTGAAAAAAATAAATGAATGAGTGTATATGAATGAACATATCTAGAATCATCTGAGATTTCCAAAGAAATCATTCTTTCAGCATTATCCTTTTAAGCACCAAAAGTTTCAATTTTAGTTATGTCTGGTGAAAATCTTTCAAAAATATCCTACCCACTTCTATACCAATAAGCTATTTCTTTGCTAGACTGATGGGTTTGTTAGAATTTATATCCTGAGATCATTTTATCTTCCTACTTCAATGAAATGGGTAGGTAATTGTGTATTATTATATAGGTCCTTTTGAGAGTAAGTTGGAAATATAAAGGTTACTGTTACTTTTAAGTGCAGACGGAGTCACAGATTCAATCATTGTCTGTCAGCCTGCCCACCCCCTATGAAATACATTACCTCTTTAAATACCAGATGTGAAGAGATGAGAACTCATCTACCAACATCCCTCCTTTCTCTCCCTCCCCCATCCCTACCTTACCCTCTCTTCTTCTTTCTATCTTTCCATTTGTAGAGGTGCAACTTGTACATTTTCTTGCTTTGCTTTCATTTCCCATTTGTGACAGAAGTTAATTTCTGCATTCATTAAAAAAGTTCCACTGTTTTCCAGATAAATTCTTTTTTTTTTCTCTCATGATATATTAATTGTTATAAAGTGCGGGCATGAAAAGAAAATGTCTTCTGACCTTTGAGCTCTTGTAGGAATGCTTGCTGACTACATAGTTATGGGCAAAATAATAGTTTCAAAACATACTAAGTGCTTGGATTTGGTGAATTGTTATTTCTAAGCACTTTCACTGCCTTGGGGAAAATACCGACAATACCTTTTTAACAGAGCAAAATAAATGCTGAAATGTGTCCAGAATTAATTTTAATTCCATCTGTTATGAGCCATGTTGGATATAAATATTCAGCAAGGGACATTAAATGGTGACTAGAATGCCTCCTGAAAGTCAGGATGTGAGGTTTTAGATATATAGCATTTGGTAATGGAGCCAAAACACGAAAAGGATTAAACAGCTTGATACTTGGGCTCTCTGATCTAATAAACACTGACTGATGCCACAAGGTTCAGAGCACAGTCATAAAGCAAGGCCATGAAACACGCACACGCTTATGTGAACTTTAAAAAGCACGTTAGGTCACTCACATGTGCATCCAGATAAGAACACACCAGTGGGATCAGAAAAGACCTGTGGGGACATGGGGTGCCTCACTTTGTACTGAAAGTTCCTTTCAATTTGTGGGATTTCTTCAGGTTGTACTCCGCGAGTGACCAATTTCCGTGGAATATTTGTATTAAAGCAAACGTTAAAATCTGGAGAAGACTTTGATGGGCCCAAAGAGTTGACTTCTAGAAGTTAATAGTTTTACAAATTTGAAAGTGTTGGGCCTGAAACAATAACTTTCTCCTCCATAGAAAATCCCACTCAATTCAGATTATGTACTTGGCACAATGTAATCACAGAACTTGCCTCGTACCTCATGTCAGTCCATTCAAACTAGAGTGGCAGACATGCAAACCTAGGTGGAAGCCATGATTGGTCTTCATTTTTTCTTTTGTGGGTACTCTCTGGGGCCAATTTCCTGTGAGTAGAATATATTATTTAATAGGAAAAACTTCACATTTAATATATGCCTATATAAGGACTGTGGATATATACAGAGCTGTGTTTGAGTTGTTTGTAAGTCAAAGCTGAAGATAATAGAGATACAGGTAATCCTGCCTGTGAACACTGGGTCAGAGTGATTCCAGTAGAAACCAGCAAAGGTTGAAATTTAAGAATGATACGTAGGCCCCTTGAAGAGATAAAAGAGACTCATTTGCATGCCATTGTTTCAACAACAGAAAAAGCCTGTTGTCTGGACAGACAAGCGTTTGTTTGATTGGACGGTAAAGGGATCTTACCATTGCAGCCACTCTTCAGATCTGTCTTCAGACTTGCGCAGAACTGCCTTTAACTTTGCGACTTTTGAAACATCCCTGTATGCCCATCATCCTGCATCTGCTCATTGAGTGTCCCCGTAGAGACAGATGGCAGTGACGTCCGTCCATCAGAAGCGTAAGCTGGGCACTGAGCAGGAACTGCCTAATGGTTGGCTCTTCCTTGTACCTCCAGGTGTCCAGTATCTGCAGAGCAGCGGTACACGCCGGCGTGGTTCGAAATCACGGGGGTTATGTTGACGTTATGCCTGTGGACAAAAGAAAGACTTACACCGCTTCTGCTCAGAATGGCATAATCTCAGAAAGGTGAATTGAAGTGCTCTCTCTATCTCTCTCTCTCTCCCCTTTTATGCTTGCTTAAAAACCAGCTTCAGGATGGGTTTGAAGTTGCGTCTGAGCCAGAGCATTTCCTTTGCCCACTGTGTAATGGTAGGTTTTCCAGGGATGGGGGAAGCTGCAGTACCAGAGGTGCCTGCCTCCTGCAGGCTTATAAAAATCAAAGTGAAAATCGGATAGAGTCAGAGCCACTCTTTTGTTAATTGATCTTATAATAAGGAAATATCATTCATCCTCTGTTGGATTTTCTGGATTAAGTTTTTATATGTAATTCTTTCTAGGTGAACAAGGCACTGAACATTTCTCTAAGCCAGTTATCTGATAAAGTATTTGACAGAAACAATGAGTTGGATTTTTCCCAGAACCAAATGTTCTTTTTGATTGGCTGTTGGATGCCTAATGTGATATAAATGAACTCTTTCAGGTCGTCTCATAACATCTGGCCCATTAGTTTATATATTTTGGTGGCTTGAGAAAATTCATGTGACTTACGTTATGAAATATTAATGAAAGAACCTAGCAAGACTTTTCAAATCACTGGTACTTGTGGAAGTAATATTAAGTCCCAAGTATTTTGTATAGATAGAGGAAAACCCCTAATTTTTAGGTATGTACGAGTTCTTCAAATTGTTATTGGAAGAGTCACATGTAAAGTTTCTCTAAAGGACACCAAAGGAGATACCATGCAGGGTGTCTGCCTTCCACGTAACCATCTGTGTGCCATCTTCATAAAGAGACAGATTTGCATTTAGCATGTTTTCAGATGAAACTCTATCAAGAGGCCATTACTGAGAAGGTGACTTTTCTACAACCTGGCATATGGTCTTCCTAAGCAGATATGATGTACAAAATAGATTCTCGAGTTAGCGATTCTGATATGAAGTTTTATAAGTTAAACTGAGTGAGATGGTCTCATTTACCTGTCATATTTCTTAATTTTTTTAAAACAATAAGAGGGTAGGTGATAGCCTAAGAAAACTGAGAATAATTGTGTTTGAGAACCTGCTGTGAATTTTCCACATGCTGCTGGACACTTTAAGTATATTAGCTCAGTTCTACCAACTGCCCTATAAAGTCGATTCTTTAAACCCTAATTTATAGACTCAGAGAGGTTACGTGATGTGCCGAAGGCCATATACCTAGTCAGTCTCAGAGCTCGGGTTCAGCACTAGGTCTGTAGGCTCAGAAATATGCATTTTCCCAGTGTATCACTGTGAACAAAGAAAAAACACACCAAACACACTCACTTTCTAGGGCACTTAGTCTGTGTCCTATACATAAAAATAAATGGCTTTGGAGTGGCCACCTGCTTGTATGAGAAGTCTGGCATGTGTTTGCTGTGTGTGCACATTTGCGACATCCTCATCCGTTGTCACTCTAAATTGCTCCCCTTTTCTTGTACATGAATAAATATATAAAAGGAATTGCACTTTGTCTCCCTCTTAGCATTTATTGTGTTGGCCTCTGAAGCCTTTTTGGTTATTAAGAAGATAAAACTTGATGCAAAAAATGTAAAGACTTCAACAGTTTAAATTTGATTAGACTACATAATGATTAATGGCATTATTAGTCAGTTTTAAATATTAGGCATTTAAACAAAACATACCTTGATTGATATTGCCAAGTAAAATATAAATAATTTATGAAAGGATAAAATATATGGTTCTGTATTGCTTTTAACTTCTGTTTAAAAATACCTCCAAAATAAGATTGAGTGCTCTCTCTCTCTCTCTCTCTCTCTCCCTCTCCCTCTCTCTCTCTCTCTCTCCCTCTCTCTCTCTCTCTCTCTTTCTCTCTCTGTTTTCATTTTAGTAAAAATATTCTTAGGACCTTTCAGATTTGACTGTTAAATTTCTCACTAAGATTTTTCTTGAAACCATAGATGTTAAAAATATTAATAAGTATGATAATAGTAAAATTTAAATTTTGTCAGACTTAGGAAATGATAGCTAGTACTGTAGAGTATTGCTCAAGTATCACCGTCTTGTTAACTCGCAGTTGACTTTTAACCATGCCAGTCAGTAGTAAACCTGGATCAATATTCCCCCAGTAAAACCACATGTCAGCTGCCTAAATCTGCTTCATTCAAGTCAAAGGTGGTGATAAAAAAAAACAAAAAAACATGATCTGGAATCCGTGAGGTTCTATATAAAATACTATTATTACCGCTGTGCACCTTAAATTTCTTTAGTAAACTTGCAGCTCAGCATACAACCGAGATTTAAAGAATTATATCATCCTCATTCAGGCTTTCCAACAACTATAAATTATAGCTGCCTAAGCAAGTTGACCATCTGGATTCGTAGAGCTGCTTTCTTGACTGTCATAGGAAGGCATGATTGATTTGAGGGGTTGCATGTGGAGATGACATCAATATCCTTTTTGTGTTTTTCCAGCTTACAGAATCCCCCAGGAGGAAAGGCATTCAGAGTATTTGCTGTTGTGTAAAACGGAACACTTGGAAGGGGAGTGCAGAGACTATTCCAAATGTCGTATTTCTGAAGTTTGTATAAAACTGTAACATTACTGTACAGAAGATATCAACTATTTTCAGCCCTCCCCCCCCCCCCGCAAAGTGCCAAATGCATATAAATCTCCGCAGACAAAGTCTGTAAAATAAAACATGGGACATTATTAGCTTTGGAAAAAGTAATGAATATGTAATGGTTTTAGAAATCCTGTGTTAAATATTGCTATATTTTCTTAGCAGTTATTTCTACAGTTAATTACATAGTCATGATTGTTCTACTTTTATATATTATATTATATGGTGCTTTGTATATGCCACTAATAAAATGAATCTAAACATTGAATGTGAATGGCCCTCAGATAATCATCTGGTGCATTTAAAAATATTAATAACAAAGATAGTATCTCCAGAAATTAAAGTAACCATGTTATAACATTTCCCCCAGTTTAATGCTATGTCATTACCTACTCTAAATAATCTCCAGTTATTTTCCACTTAATACCTGCATAGTTTTTCTCCTCTAAGTGTAGGCATAAAGGATGTTAAGTCCTGATACTGTACTTCTTATGTTTGATTCCTTGTGAATGGCCTGAAGAATAAATGGAATGAAGTCAGAGGGGCTTGTATGAAAACATTCCTAGAGATTATATAATAAACAAAAGGGTACGCATAGGCAGCCAGTGCTTTCCATGTATTGTTCAAACTGGGGTCACGCATTTTCTTTTGTATCCTGGCAAATACTCCTGCAGGCCAGGAAGTATAATAGCAAAAAGTTTAACAAAGATGAACTAAGGTATTGCATCACCATTGCCACTGATTTTCTTAATGGTAAATGGCTGTGTGTATAATTGTTGTCATATTATGGTACCTATAATGGTGATATATTTGTTTCTATGAAAAATGTATTGTGCTTTGAGAATAAAAACCTGTAAAATGTTAATTTTGGTATTTTTTTTCTGCTGATGAATTTACTCTTTTCCTGTAAACATATTAAAATTAATCATGTTTCAAAGTATTATTTTCAGTCTTCTTTGCATCCTTATTTTGATTTAGAAATCACTTTAAATTAAAAAAATTATTGTAAGTCTTTTAAATTTGAGTTAGTGGTAAGGGGGGAGGGGGTGGTAGATGAGGGAAAAGGGGGTCAAATATATGGTGATGGAAGAACTGACTCTGGGTGGTGAGCACACCATGTGATATATAGATGACGTATTACAGAATTGTACACTTGAAACATAATTTTACTAACCATTGTCACCCCAATAAATTTAATAAAAAATTGAATTAGTGACATTAATAAAACAACATCCGTAATATCAGAAGTCTGCAAAGTCAACCTGATTATTTAGGTATTTGTATGTGAGAGAGAAGACAATTATAAGTTTAAAAGCATTATATTAAGGGAAAATTTGTATAAAATAAGAGAGATTTCTAAACGAGAAATAATCTGAAAGATAAAAGTGATTATAAAAGAGCGGACAAGACAATAGATACTTCAAATATTTTTAGAAAGTAAATGAGTAGGTGTTTAGGAGCAGATAAAAGAGATAAATTACATGTAGCAATCAGGGAAAGCAAGTGAGATGGATAATTCAAAAAAGGGGGACTCACATAAACAGCTGCTGGAGAGCAAATTGTGAAAAAACTAACATCATGATCAGTTACCAAGTATTGGCCAGGAATTAAATGGTTCAAAACATAGGTAATAAAAGCTTTAGCATTTATAGCAAAGCTTTAGCATTTATAGCAAAATTTCAAAGCCTAAAGCAGATTTTTGTGGAAACATTTTGTCCTAAAAGACATTACGCCTTCTTAAATAGCATGACTGAAATGTAAACTTTACAGAGATTCATCCTCTATTTCACTGCTCCCCCAGTGAGGAAGCCCCATCAATTCTGTCAGGAGTCTATCTGTCCCTAGTTTAGATGCTCATCATCAACTTCCCATATTATTTTGATGTCTCCAACTGGACCTTCCTCATTTTGTTCCTCTCAATTCCTTTTCAATTCATCCTTAATTTTCTCACTGGAATTATACTCTCCTACAAGTTGCCATTATTTAAGAAAACCAAACCATCTTATAAAAGCATTTAAAGACCTCTAGTCTTGTCCCATGTTGCTTTTCTATGATCTTATACATAAGGTGTGGTCTTTTTACGCTTCAGTTACTCACCTGAAAATGGGACAAATAATACCTCACAGGGATTGCCCTAAGAATTACTTGAGGTGTGATGTACAATGTACTTAAAAGATCATCAAACACATAGTACGTGGTTAATATATGTTCATTTTTGTTAATATATAACTATTTTTGTTGTTGACCTTGGGGAAGCTACACATCTATTACACTTATCCTTCAGCACTTAACCAAAAGTGAACTCCTACAGGAATTTCCCTGCAATTATCCTGGAAAGAATTAAATAATGCTCTTTAATATGCTCTTTTAATTTGATCATATTAATTTTTAAATTTGCCTTGTATTATATTTAGTTCCTTAAACTTAAGGATAAGCTCCTTGAGAACAGTAATATTCTTTACAGATATCTCTGCTCCAGAAATAGTTACTTTTATCCTCCATAAATGGTGGGTCAATATTACTAAATGAATATTCAACAATCCCTGACTATATTTTTGATGACATAAGTGAGCATATTATAGTAGCAAAGATAAGATATTATAGCTAATGAAAGTAGTTTATTGATAAACATTCTAAATGTGGATTTAAAACAGATGTTAATACTTATAAAATAGTGTCAACATCATTATTTTAGCTTTCCAAGTTTACCAGACCACTTTTTAATTATTCCTTTAATCTGTATTTAATAAAAGCAATCTCTTTATTTCAAGCAAGGCAGAATTCTTCAAAAAATTATCTCCCAATCTGTTAGTTCATTGGTATATTATAGGGTATACTTTTCTACTCAATATTTTATTTTCAAATCTTGATGTGTTCTAACATTTCTAATATTTTCTAATATTTTTAAAGAGCACAGTGAGCTAAGCAAAGAACTAGAGCTATTCTTTGCAGACATAGCAAACTTCAGATTTGGGGGTTAAGCTAAGTTAGTGCACAAAGAATTATATTGTTTGGGTTAATTTAAAACACTTATTTGAGGTGATATTTCAACCCTGCACCATAATATTCAGGAGCTGAAGAAATAGTTTAGCCAAATAATCTGATCCTCTTTCACTAATTTTCTGGAATTAAAGGCTAAATTATATCAGTCTGAGATTTTTCAAAGGCAGGGAAACTCTTTAGAACTCTGCTATTATGCTTAGCCATTAAATACTCTTTTGCTTTTAACCATCCAATCCCTATGTCATATTCCACACAAATAATAAGAGTATAAACTAATGCTAATAAGCAAACATCTTTGCACTAGACCATTAAAATTATGAAAACAAAATTGTCCATGATTACTAAAAAATCCTAATTAAAACCATGATTGTCAATTACATGGTGACTATGCTGATGAAGATGACAAATAGGGAGCCTAAACAAGTCCATGTTTGAAAAGCTCAGTTTTAAGAAAGAACATGCATAGAAAATGAAGTAGAAATCAAGAATAAATATTTGAAAGTGCATTAAGTGATTTAACATAATATTGGAAATGTTAATTCCCAACATTATTGAGCTCTTATGCTAAAACAAGGATTTTTTTTAAAAGCCATATGAGAATAACTTGGTTAGGAACAATAGAATGAAAAACACAAATAAATAGCCCCTCCTGAAGCTTTTTTCTTCATTTATTCCAAAAACATTGAGTTCCTAGAATTTGCTTATGGACTGGCTGATCACTGTAGATATGCTTATAAGCAAAAATGCCGTCAGGACATTAGTATCTAGGGAACAAGGCAGATATCAATTAACCACACAAATAATATGATTACAAACCATGAAGGCTATAGAACTGCAGGGTTACAAAGAAAATGTTCATAGTATGGTGGGAGTATTTAAAAGTGGGACTTAGTTGGGGAGAGGAAGGATGACTTTACCAAGGAATTCACGTTAAAGCTTAGATCTTAAGGGTGAGCAGAAGTAAATAGGGAGGGGTTGGAGCTCCAAGAGGTGCCCAAATCGAATAATACTATGACATGACACATATTACTATGCTGGAAAGACACTCAGAGTTTGAGCAGGGAGGCAAAAGATTTGACTACATTCTATAATAATACCAATCTTAGAGTTTTGTTTAATGTTCGTGGGATCTAAAGAGTTTGGTTCATCTATGATTATGCGTCTGCAGCATGGATTGCAGATGATTGTAAGAGAGAGTGGAGAGGGATTGACATGTATGGAGCACGAACTATATGTTGACACTGCTTTACAATTCGTGTGTTATTACTTGATTCTCACAGCAAACCTGTGAAACAAGATGACTTTCCCAAACTTATGTATTAGAAAGCAGGTTCTAAAGGGTTCAGCAACACTGTCTAGGCTCTTGAGTTTGAGAATTGTAATCCAAGTCGCCGTTTATCCAATTCCAAATGCTCTTGCAGCTAGGTCACCCCTGCTAGAGGTTTCAATGGAGATTGAGAATGACTTCACTAATTCCTCCCACAGCAGGCTGAGAAGTTCTGTTGCAGAAAATGTTATAATCCTCAAATATGTAAAATTTGTTGGATGTGGGAAGATATGCAGAACAGAAATTAGAGATTTAACTTTCTTTAGAAGTGGCCAACAAGATACAAAAAGAACCCTGGTTCAGGGGACTCCAGTGAAGAATGAGGTTTGTGTTCTATAGATTTTGAACTAGTGGACTGCTGTTTCAAGACAATAGATTGAATACACCTCCTCCCCCAAATTCATGAAGAGGATAATAAAGAGGAAGAAAACTATGGATTCATGTAAGCACAAATATCCTGAAAATGGATGGCAATTGGAATCATAGTGACGATTGATGCACAGCACATGGCCCCTCAGCTCAGAACCTGCACTAGTGAAGGCTGTACTTGACAAGAGGGCCTTTCTTAATGGGAGAGCCATAAACCAAACTGATGAAAAATGAGCTATTTTAGTTCTCTTCACCTAGCTTCCCTGACTTCATTCTTTACTCTCAAACCCCACCCAACCTGCCCACATACCCTCCAATGAGTCCAAGTAATCAACATGCCACCACACACACAAGAACTTTAAGTCAGACCCATCTCATTCAGGAAACAGGCTGACAATATGAGCCAGCTATGTTAATCAAACCAGTGCCTCAAACTTATATATGAACAGGCAAAAGGATCATCAGACATATGCACTGATAAGCAAATATCACATCAACTGATATTAGAAGATTAGAAGCAGACATTTCAGAGAAGAGTACCTCTGAAAATATTATCATTAATATCCCTAAGGGGAATGTAGATGACATTATACCCATAAAACAAGAACAGGCCAGTACAGAAAAGAAACAGAGAACATGAAAAGTAACAGGTCTTGGAAGAGTTTAGAATATCTAAGACTTAGCTATTGAACTCTAGGAAGTGAGAAAGAAAACATGCTTCAAAGTTGTGATGTGGCCTAAAAGTAGGAATTTTAAGAGATGTATAGAAATGGAAAACATAGAAGATTTGTTAGAGATAATTTTAGCTATTCAACATGTGTGTAGTGTTTTCTCATTGTGGTTTTACTTTGCATTTACCTGATGATTAATACTGTTGAGCATCTTTTCATATGTCATTTGTATATCTACTTTGTGAAGTGTCTATTCAAATCATTTTGAAATTAGATTTTTTTATTATTGATTTATAATAGTAAAAGTTTTTATTTTGGATACAAGGTCTCTGTCCTTTACATATTAGGTTTTTGGAAAAGTCATGACGTATTTTTTCTATGTTTTTCACTGCAAAAATGTGTCATGACTTTTCCGACAACCCAATACATACATACATATGTGTGTGTGTGTGTGTGTGTGTGTTTCAAGATTAAACCTGTGATCCATTTGAATTAA